GCCCCAGGTAGTGAAAGAAGGGACTAGACTACCGCAAGGTGAGGACATTTAAGGACTGTATGAGACTATCTACTGAGTTTTGAATTATTTTCCACCTCATTTATTCTTACTTAATTTCTCCTTACTTCTTTAAAAAATTTTTATCCTCCTAATAATATATTCTATACCCAACTGATCTCTGACTACACTAAAACATAGTCTGAGATTCCTTACACAGTAGTCCAATTTTTCCCTTGGTCTAAATTGGTCTTATGAACATTGTTTTTTTTTAGATTTTATTTTAATATTTTGTTTATTCTTTCATATATTAGCTGGATTTCTTCATGTTTTCTTTATATGTTTTAGAATTTGATTAAATATTTGGTATTTAAATTGGGGGGCTTAAATTGATATACATATGGTAAACATATATAACCAATCCAAATAATGATGAGAAATTTCTGTACTCCTCAGTTTCCTTCCCTTGTTCTAAGTCTTAGAATTCTATGCAGTCTGTCCCTTTGCACATGCCAGGACAGTCAAGAATGCTAATGTCATTGTATGTATATATTTGGATTTAATCTATTGGTACTTTATTAAGGACTTCTGACATTGTACTCATGAAGATAGTAGTCTGATCTTTGGATGTGACCATAACTGGCCTTGTAAAGTGTACTGGGAACCATCATCTTGGAAGAGGGTTTTTTGAGGTTGTAGTCATTCTTACACATCTTGAATTGAATTCACTAGCAAGGCTATGCAGTCTTGGAATTTTCCTTTTGTAAGGTTTTAGATAGTATAAGGCCATTATGCTAACGTTTCTCTTTGAAATATCTTTGCTATTTTATGTCCTTAAAAGAGATCACGTGTTTCGTCCACTTTGTTAAATTATTGTTGCTCATGATATTGTTATTTTTTCCCCAAGTTTTGGCATGTCTACTTTGAATTCTGACATTGATCATTTGTAGATTTTTTTTATATTGTTGCTTTATCAGCCTACTGCATTGTTCAACTGTATTGTTCTTTTTAATGAACAGTTCTTGGCTTTTTTATTTTTCCCTTTTCTATCTCTCCTGTAATCTTTATCAGCTTGTCCCCTTTCATTGGCTTCAGGGCTTACTTTGCTCTACGTAATTAGTTAATTTGCTCAGGCTCTTGACTATCAGTGTCATCTCACTGTGTGATGCTGCAAAGACCATTTTGACCTCTTAATAGTCACTGTCATCATCCCATTGTTGTAATTTGTTTGGTTTTTGAGACAGGGTTTTTCTGTGTAGCTTTGTAGACCAGGCTGGCCTTGAACTGACAGAGATCCACCTGCCTCTGCCTCTCAGAGCTGGGATTAAAGCCATGTACCACCACCAACGCCCAGCCACTGTTGTAATTTTTAAAAAGAAGCTCGAGAGAGAAGACACCATGTGACAGAGTTCAAGCAGAGGGATTTTTTATGAGGGAAAAGGATCATAAAAATGGGGAAAGGGGTGTGGGGAGACTGGCTTCTGGGGACAGGAGGGGTGGGAGAGAAGAAAGAGAGGAGAGAGGCACAGAGAGAGAGACAGAGACAGAGGGAGAGAAAGAGAGAAGGATGGGAGGTGGGCAGGGCCCTTTCGAAAGGGAACATAATGAATGTGCACGGGTGGTGCTCTTAGTGGCTGCAGCTGAGGTAGTGTCCTGTCAGAACCCCAGGGACAGGCCAGTACAGATGCCCGAATACTAACACCCACTGGCCATCTATTGAGATGCTACTCCACTTAGTCCTTTTTCTGTGTATGTTATTCATTTATGTTTCAGTCCACAAAGTATTTTAGCATCTTCTTATTGTCTACTTTCTCTAAAGAAGCAAAATTACCTTTGACTGTTACAGCGATTATGATTGGCTATTGTTTCCAATGTAAGGTACTTTTTACTCTCCCATTACATTGTTTTTAAAATAGAATTAACTCCCATTACTTAACGACCCACAATTCTATGTTATAAATATAGACAGCTAGTCAGTTCCTTGGTGTGTGTATCTCATCCCATAAAAAATACATGAGTTTTTCCTATGTGAATAAAATTAAAATATTCACTACTTTTTAAAAACAGACTTTCCTGACAACGTATTTTCATATCATTCCATATATGATTTATATTTGTCTTTTTTTATGTGACAGCCCAAACCTTTTTGCATGCTAGCTGAGCACTCTACCACAGAGCTACACCCTCAGCACCTGATTCATCTTTAAATATGTCATTGATATTTTTTCACATATGTATATATTTAAAAGTCCCTATTTGAGAGATTTTTTAAAACACATGAAAGTAAGCCCTCATGTGTGTATCATCTGGATTCAATGCTTATCGACTTGGGCCAATTCATCCATCTGTACACAGATCTATAGCTCCCAGAGTTATATTTAAACAAATCCCACATGTAATATTTTAATAATATTTTATTAATCTATGTACATTTATAATGACTATATGGTGTCTAACTGTATCAATGTGCTACTATATATGTATATATATATTTAGAAAAATCACTTGTTTTTAGGCAGATCTCTTTCTTCCTCTCCCTGATTGTTTTCCTGTGTGTGTGGGGGAGAGAGAGAGAGAGATTGGAGGTTATACTTTACTACTATAAAGTGTTCTGTGTAAAAATTGAACACCTATTAAGTTATTCAATATTATGCTAGATGTCTTCCTACTTAATTTTGATATAAATATACTAGAAAAAGGGTTATCTCATTTTACAGACAAGGAATGGAGACCTGTTATATTAAAGAAATCACCTATCCTTAATTAGTAATGGAATTTGGGTTCTAAATTAGCCCTTGCTTCCAAATTTAGGGCTTTCCCCCTTTTCCTTTCTACTTTTCCCGTCATGTTTTATGGGTCTTTTTATGTTTAAATAAAACTGGCTTTAGAAGTGACCTGTGAAACTGTTTTTTTTTTAATTCCTTGAGTTTAATGATACATGCATATATCTTTTCATGCCTAGCAACAATTTTTGCCTTCTTATATATCAAAGTACTCTAAAGTGCTGTGTGTTTGTGTATAAGGGAGTGTGTGCATATGTATAATACCCTTCTAGTAAGGGAGGGTATGCATCTGTATAAAGCTCTTCTAGAATGGAAATGGTGTTTGCAAGGTTACTATTAACTACTAAGTTCTTAGATTTTTTACTGACAAACTGGCATTGCAAGGTGCTGTGTCATGAAGGATTTCACACACAAATGATCCCCTTCAACACTTAATAATGTAGTGCCACAGGAGCAGGAATACATTTATTTGGCAGTGGTAAAAATAATACTGTCAATTTTTAGTTTTACTGTTTTGACAAACTTCGTGAGGGAACAGCTCCAAGGAGGGTCTAGTTTAGTCCAGTTTCAGAGGTTTACGTCCATCATGGGATGAAAATGTTGAGCATCAGAGTCTCTGATACCATGATGGTCAGGAAGCAGAGGAAGGTAATACAGGAAGGAACCTAGGGAAGAAGATACTGGCTCTAGGACTCGCCCCATCCTGTAGTGACCTACTTCCTCTGGCTAGGCCTACATCTTCCACCTACCTTTACTAACTCCCAGTAATGCCATGGTAATTATGAACCTATCAGAGGCTTAATCTATTCTTTAGGTCAGAGGCTTTCTGATCTGACCATCTCTGGAAATAACTTCAGACACGTTATTTACTGTTATCCTAGGCATTTCTTAGTCCAGTCTGATTAGCCCTCAGAATTAGCCATCACAGCCATTATTGAAATACACATGGTACTTACAGATCTTTGTCATTTCATCAATAATTCATAAGACTCAATATCTACTGTGTATGAAGACTTGTTCTAGATTTATAATAAGAGACTGGATTCTGCCCTTCCTGTTATGACTACAAAGGAAATACTTTAAATAAATCTTTGTGGGTGTGGATGTATGTATGTGATGTGGTGTGTGTGTGTGTGTGTGTGTGTGTGTGTGTGTGTGATATGTATGCGTGCATGGTTGTGTAAGTGCTGATGGATGTGCTCTACAGTGGTTGGTCGGAGGTGTCAGTCCCTGTCTCCCATCTTTTTTGAGGTGGAGTGTCTTGTTCACTTTAGGGTATACCAGGCTAGCCGGTCCATAAGCTTATGGACGTTGTCCATTCTGTCTCCCATCTCAACATAGGAGCACTGTGCCCAGCTTTACGTAGATACTGGGGACCTGAACAAAGGCCTTTACTCTTATATAGCAATACCCACTGAGCCATCAACCTAGCACAGAAGCCAAATATCTCTCAAGGAAAAAAAAATCATACATGATATTTATAAGTCTCTGCGGAAATTTTTCTTTTTCTTTTACTAGTGAAATTTGACTAACAAGTTTTGTGAATTTGTTTCTCCTTGAAATCTAGTCAATACCTTTAAAAAGTGGGTTAGGGCAGCAGATGTAAAACAGTTCCTCTGAAAATGGATTGCAGAGATGACAACTGTCAGCATAGTTCCAGGAGAATTTGCCATGTGTCTGGTAGTAGAATAGGTGTTTTGGTAAGGAAACTTCCAGAGATATTCAAGAGATATGTGCTTGTCCAATTGTTTATGTACAGTGTATGCCTAATTAAACAAAAACTCAGTAAAAATGCATTTAAGCTCATTTAATGTTTGAAACATTTTCACAAAAAGTAAAGGCAATCTAAGGTCCTGAGAATGCACTTGGGATATAGCTATAAACATGTCCAAATATTTACAACTGCTTGATAAATCTCAATCCCTGTAACATACTGCCTTTTAGAAAGTGCTGTCATTTGCATCCTTAAATTGCTACATTCTATGACAACAGATATTCCATGCTTTTATTATGCATACAACTACAATATGAACTTTCTATGTCACTTGAGTTTTTCTAATGGGTACATGAACGAAATAAATTTTAATGGTACATTTTATTTAATGCAATGTATCTCAAGTATTTTGACATGGAATTAGTATAAAATTTGTTTGGAGATACCTTTCATTTTTACAGTGTTTTCTAACAAGATGTTATTGAAGTATGTATTTGATGCTTACCTTACGTTGTCCATCTTACATCAGACTTGCCACATTTCAAGAGGTCCTTCAACAGCACAGTTGTATTACTCACCAGTCTCATTTTCTGAATTGTTTGGAGGCAAAAAAAAGCCCAGAAAAGCATGAAACAGTGTCCACATGCCATCATTACTCTAACTGGGGAAGTAAGTCCATGAAACATAATGGCTATATCTGAACAGCAGCCTTTTATTACTTGATGCAGGTTAATTAGGCATTGCGGCTCGAATGAGGTACTCAATGGGCTATGCATTAAACACATTTCTTCCTTCATAATCCTCTGCGTCTCACCCAACAACACCCACACATTTCAGGCAGACTACCAACTGCTTATCAAGGGATAAATTCCAAATTACATCTTGATCTTTACACTCTGTATGGTCCCCCGAGAAGCCCCTTGAGCCTCTTCGCCGACTCTCTACTTAGGACAATTCCTCCTTCCACGGTCACCTACTGGAGGCCTCCAGGTATGATGTAGCCCACATAAAAGGGCTGAGATGTGTCCCTTGTCAGCAAAAAGATATTTTAAATTTTCAATGACAGAGTAGCAGGACATGCAAGAAAGTAGCTGTTGTAGTTGACATTCTTTTGAAAAACAAATGTGTACACTTTCCTAATCTGTACCCCCTTGTCATCTCTTTGTCACAGTGTTTGGGAAAGTCTGTCTGTCTGTTGCTCTCTCTCTCTCGTCCTCCAGGGAAGCCCAAGGGTGCAGAGAGTTGGAAGTTTACCATGAGTTCTGGGCATCTGAACCAACAGTCTGGAAGAATGACAATGAACACAGATCCAATCACAGGTCGCTCTAAACTTGGTCCAACTACAGGCTCAAGAAAAAGACTTGAATTTCACCTCATGGCTGTGAATTCAACACCAACTACACATCCCTTAATTATCATAGGATCCTTTAACATTGTACTTTCTGTAATTATTTTGGTATTTGTGTTTAATAAGTCTCTTATATCCTTCCATCAATCTGTAAGACTACAGGGTGTCTTGGCCGTGATTTGAATATACCATCCAAGTGAGTTTTTGAGAATACTCGCTTCCGTTATTTCATCGTGGCTTTTGACCAAAACGCCAAATATGGCATTCGAAATCTTACTTTTTATTGTTCTTAGTATGTATTGACCAGTAACTTCCTCTCTATTGATGAACATCCTGTGGTATATGAAGTTCCATACTGAAGAATGAAAACATGAACAGTACCAATGCTATGAACTACCAAACAACCCTTACAAAGTTACCAAGATATGTACTAATGAATGGACTTCAATTTATTAAAAGCGTTAAGACTTTCGTCATTCCATCAATTTTTAAATTATCAAGTGCTTTTTAATGTGTTAATTGCAATTCATATCCAATGGACTATTTTATTTAGTTTTAATAATTGATGACATTGTCAGATTTAAAGCCTTTTCCCAAAAGGCAAATATAAATATTTGTGTATTTTATACCCTCCCTCACCTACAGATGCAACAGTTGGAGAGACAAGTAATCGATGCTGAACGTCAAGCAGAAAAGGCTTTTCAGCAGGTAGAGCATAATTTAATCTTTACCTGTCTCTATGCATATAAAGACTGTTTAGCTCATAATAGCAGGATAGCTGTCAACCTTCCGGAATATCTCATCATTGTGACTGCTCATGAGCTCAGTCCACAGAGTGGAAAAATTGAACTCTATTTTGTTCCTTTAAAGATTTTCCAAATATGACTTTTAATAGAAATCCCAACTGCAATTAAGTTTTATATATAAGTATGTTCATATCAGCTTTATGTATAGTAATAAAGAGTTGAAAATGATATGAATTCCATATTGTAGAAGAATCAGTTAATAAACTTAAAGCCATGAACTGTTGAACATCTATTTCAAATCATTTTACTGGAAATTAATAGAGAAAATGCTTAGAATTATATTAGGAAAATATGCACAAAATTGTATATTTCATATATTAATATTTATGAGTAAGGAAAGTCAAATCCATGCGTTTAAAAGTAGTCTGAGAGGAAACTAGAAGTTTGCTTGAATTGTGTCATTAAGAAAGATTGTTTTACTGGGCTGTGGTGGCACACGCCTTTAATCCCAGCACTCAGGAGGTAGAGGCAGGCAGATCTCTGTGAGTTCAAGGCCAGCCTGGTCTGTGGAGTGAGTTCCAGGATAGCCAGGGCTACACAGAGAAACCCTGTCATGAAAAACCAAAAAAAAAAAAAGAGTATTTTCCTTCATTTTAAAAAATACTTACTGCTTTGGTTCTTTAGATGATGGTTTGGTAAGTCACTTAGCCCTTTCTGAGCCTTGAGAGCAGTAAGTGGATGGTTTGGTTGGGCACACCCAGCCTTAAAATTCTTTAATAATCTAAAATCAAAATCTCAAATTCTTGTTTTATTAAAAAAAAAACTCTTTATCACAGTCACTCAAACCAACATTTTCCAAAAGCTTCAATACGGAATTCTTCTAAGAAATGCACAGTACAGCAGTTGTACTGTCCTTACGCGTGTCATTTTCCGTCTAGAGCCTAGCCCTGATTTTACACAGCAAATTGTTAGAGTGTCTATACCAATCCAACCTAATCCTTGATTTCTTGTTTATATTTAAAAAGAAATCTTAAAATTGTATTACATGGAACCACATATAAGAGTAGGGAAATGATATAATGGACTCTCAGGAGTTAGTTAACTTGTGGTTTGTCTATCACTAGTCACTTCTTGCCTCCACTCAACCCTACATGGATTATTTATTTTGAAGCAAATACCAGATATCACATGATTGTACCCATGAATAAAGTTGAGTGAAATCAAAGCAACTTATCTAAAGGACTCTTTGAAACCCCAACCACAGTACCATTGCCATGCCAAAAATATTACCCAAAATTCCTCTGTGTGTCAGAGAACTAGATACTATTCAGAATTCTCCCAAACATCTCATAGTTGCTTCTGGTTTTGTTTTTCTTTAATATTTACTTTATTTTATATTTGTGTGTGTGTGTGAGAGAGAGAGAGAGAGGAAGAGAGAGAAAGAGAGAGGGAGGGAGGAGAGGAGAGCATGTGTACGCTGGTGCCCACAGAGAACAGCAGTGTTGGTGCCTATGAGAGCTTGAGTTACAGGCAGTTGTGGGTGCTGGAAACTGAGCTTGGGTCTTCTGGATAAACAGTACGATCTATTAACTGATGAACCATCTCTCTAGCCCCATGTTATTGTTTCTTTAATTGAGCTGAGATTCATATAATATAAAATTAATTATTTTAATACAGACAAGTCCTGTCTTTGGGATCTGAGCATCAAGTCTGCTTGAGCTAGTTCCTTACTATAGAGTAGCTTAGGGGTTTCACAATCAAAGAGGCTTAGGGGGAATGGGCCAAGGGTATGCTAAGTGGGAACAGATAGGAATTTACCCACTAGGAAAAAAGCTCCCTGAGAGTTCAAAATATTCCAAACTGGAGGGCCTATGTGTAAATATTTGACAGAGTTTATTTAAACCAATTTGAATTCATTGGGCTCTCTCTCTCTCTCTCTCTCTCTCCTCTCTCTCTCTCTCTCTCTCTGTGTGTGTGTGTGTGTGTGTGTGTGTGTGC